TTGTGCCTTGCCAATGCCTGTCCATCATCTACAAGTCCAGTTGAGTTTCTGGCCAATGGTAACCACGAGGATGTTAACAGTGGGGGATTCAGTGATGGTAACACCATTGAATGTCAAGGGATGTGGCGAGATTGACTTACAGGAGATGATCATTGCCTGATGTGAAGTACGAATGTTACTTGCCACTCATCAGCGCAAGCCTGTATATTAGTTAGGTCTTGTCCATTTGAAAATGGACTGCTTCAGTAGGAGTTGTCGTGAATGGTGTTGAACATTGCACATTTATGGGGTAACATCCTTACTTCTGACCTTATGATGGAAGTCATTGATGAAGCAGCTGAAGATGGCCAGGCCTAGGGCACTATCCTGAGGAACTCCTGCAGAGATATCAAAACAGAGATGACTGACCTCCAAAAATCACAATCGTCTTCCTAATTGTCAGGTATGACTGACCAGCAGTATGTTTGCCCTGATACCTATTGATTCTAGTTTTGCTAGGGCTCACTCTTGTATTGAGCTCTTTTGTTCATGTTTAAACCAAGGCAATAATGAGGTCAGCAGTGGCATGGCAGAACCCAAACTGGGAATCACTGATAAAGGTTACTGCTGAGCAGGTGCTCCGTGATAGCACTGATGACGACGACGACGACATCTTCTATCATTTTATTGATGATCAAGAGAAGCTGGTGGGGCAGTAATTGGCTGGGTTGGATTCGTCCTGCTGCGCGTGCAGGATATCCCAGAGCAGAGCAATTTTCCACATTGTTGTATAGATGCCAGTGTTGTAACTGCACCAGTACAGCTTGGCTAGGGCAGTGGCAAGTTCTGAAGCACAAGTCTTCAGTATCCTTGACAGAATGTTGTCAGGACCCTTAGCTTTTGCAGTATCCAGTACCTCCAACTGTTTTTGGTCTTCATGTGCAGTGAATCGAATTGACTGAAGGCTGGTATCTGTGATGCTGCTGACCACTGGAGGAAGCAGAGATGGATAATCCACTCGGCACTTCTGGCTGAAGACTAATGCAAATTCTTCCAAGCTGATCTTTTACATTGATCGTTGGGCTTTTCCATCATTGAGGATGGGGATATTTGTTCAGCCTCCTCCTCCAGTAGGTGGTTTAATTGTCCACCACCATTAACGACTTGATGTGGCAGGACTGCAGAACTTAGAGCTAAGCAATCCCATAACCGACAGATCAGATCTATCTTCCACTTCCTGCTAATGCTGTTTGGTATGCAAGTAGTTGTGTGTGGTAGCTTCACCAGGTTAACACTCATTTTTAGGTATGCCCGGTTCTGCTCCTAGCACACACTATTGACGAGGGGGTTGATCCCCTGACTTGATGGTAATGATTACAGTTGAGTGGGGGATATGCTGGGCCATAAGGTCCCAGATTAAGTGGGAGTACAATTCTAACTTTGTTATTGGTCCACTGTGTCTCATGAATGCCCAATCTTGAACTGCTTGATCCATTCAGCACAGTGACAGTGCCAGTGCCACACAACACAACGGAGGGTATTGTCAAATTGAAGGCAGGATTCTGGCTCCACAAGGATTGTGCAGTAGTCACTCTTAGAGATACTGTCATGGACAGATGCATCTGCGGCTGGCAGACTGGTAAGGATGACGTCAACTATGTTTTTCCCTGTTGTTGGTTCCCTCAGCACCTGCTGCAGACCCAGACTTGTAGCTGTGTACTTTAGGGCCTGACCAGCTTGATCTGTAGTGCTGCTGCTGAGCCATTCTTGGTGGTGGACACTGAAATCCCCACTCAGTATATTCTGCACCCTTGCCTTCCGCCAAGAAATGCTCACCATGGAGGTGCAGGGACTCATCAGCAAGGGAGGATGGTACATAGTAATCAGCAGGTGGTTTGTTTGCCGGTTTAACCTGAAGTGATGAGACTTCATGGGGTCTGGAATCAACGTTGATGACTCCCCAGAGCAACTCCCTCCTGACCATATACCTGTGTACTGCCACCTTTGCGGAGTCTGCACTGCCATGGGACAGGACATATCCAAGGATGGTAACGGTAGCGTCTGGAACATTGTCTGTCAGATATGAACGTGTTAGTATGACAAGGTCAGACTGTTGCTTGATGCATGAGACACAGCTCTTCCAATTTTGGCACAAGCCCCCAGATGATCTTAAGGAGGACTTTGCAGGGTCGACAGGGCTGTTTCTGCCATTGTCTTTTCCAGTGCCTAGGTTGATGCCAAGTGGTCCATCTGGTTTCATTTCTCTGTTGGGACTTTGTAATGGCTGATACAACTGAGTGGCTTGCTAGGACATTTTAGAGGGCAGTTGTGAATCAACCACACTGCTGTGGGTCTGGAGTCACATGTCGGCCAGGCCAGGTGAGAATGGCAGATTTCCTTCCCAGAAGGACATTAGTAAGTCAGATGTTTTTTTTTCCCTGACAATTGACAATGGTTTCATGGTTATCAATAGTTTCTTGATTCCAGATTTTTTTTTTTTATTTAATTCAAATTTTACTATCCCACCTCGGCAAGATTCTAACCCAGGTCGCCAGAACGTTAACTGAGTTTCTGGATTAATAGTTTAGTAATCCTGGAGGGCTTGTTGAAAACACCCAATCAATAAGCTTCACACAGACAGGAAGGAGCGATCTCATCCAGAGGGAGATGCGGTCCAAGTGAGTATACAGTCTGGGGAATTTGGAAGTAGCACAGGAAGTTGGTGCAGAGGGGAAGAGATGCTTTTTGCTTGTTTTTTTTTTGGGTTTGTATTTTTTAAATTGTTTTTAAAAACAGGATAATCTGAAGCCCAAGAACAAGGGCCCAGCACAATAGCGACACAAGTAAACTGCTGAGGCTATATAATACCACACTTGGAACATTAAGCCTCTTATCTAGGAAGGATGTGTTGGCATTGGATGGAGTCCAAAGGAAGCTTACAAGAATGATCCTGGGGAGGGAGGGCTTTGTCATAGGAATGGTTGAGTGTTCTAGGTCTGTACACAAGAGCTCAGGAAGTTGAGGGTGGGAATGTGATTGAAACTTGGAGAATACTAAAAGGCCTGGACAGAGTTGATGTAGACAAGATGCTTCAACTGGTACAAGAGTCATTTTTGTTAAAAAAGGTTCAAAAATAAAAGGAGGTTGTTGAGCTATTTCTTTTGGTAACAATGGCAGTAGAATAACTTGCAGAAAGAAAAACAGAACCCAAAAGGATCAATCTACTAATTGGTTTGTATGCCATCCACCAAAAGGTGAAAGGGCAAGAAAGAAGTGTACGAAACAATTAGAGAATGGATTAATAACAAAAAAAATCATTCTGGGGACTTACAACTACTGATATGAATTGGACAGAGGAGATCAAAGGAATAAGGAAATGGAGTTCCTATAATGTGTACACAACTAGCTTCTAAGGCAATTTTCTTAAGCTAAGTTTATTAAGCTAAGAAAGAAGTATTCACTGGAGATGTCCCAAGCTTTGTAAGACTTGCCTACAGAATAGTTCAGTCAGATTCACTATGGTTTATTCTTGTAAACAGATTCAAGGCTTAGATGAAGCAAAATAAACAGCAACCATTAAAAATTGTGTTTTTATTTCCTTATCCCAAACAAAACTTCTACAGCTGCCCAAAAGTACTACCATCACTCGTGCCCCAGCCAACAATATCAGGAAAGCAGCAATAATTGACTCCAATGTAAAGTGGTCTCCCTGCAAACAGTACTTTTACTTTCCTCCCTCAATATATGAAGGCTATGAAACCAAAGTAATACGATATATGCCATCCATTGCCAGGAGCACAAATGAAGGGAAGGCACTGATTGATGCTCAAAATTTTCATCTACAGCACTTTGATAAACTAGGTTAAAGTTTCTTTACTTAAATGTGTGTTGCTACCTAGACACAATATAAACTTTCTCAATGAAACAATAGTTACCCTCATCTCTTGCTCTCCTCGGCAAAAGGTTTTAAACTATCAAAGCCAAGACTTGCTGGCTCATTATTTCTCACTTCAAACAATTGCATCTCTCAATTCTGGTACAAAATTGTCTCAAAAAAGATAAGACATATGCCAAGATAGCGAATTCAATGACTGGACCCCAATTTAGGAAAACACCTTCTCAAACAACTTTCAACTCAGTTCTTAAGATCCCTGGACAAATATGGGTTAATGAGGGAGTATCAGCATGGATTTCAGAAGGAGAAATTATGATTAACTGACTTGCTGAACGACTGAGGAAGCAAGAGAGGGGTGCTGAAGGCAATGCTGTTGATATAAATTACATGGATTTCCGAAAGACATTCAATACAATGCTATGCATCAGCCTTGTGAGAAATTATAGCTGTCAGAATAAAGTACCAAGGTACAAAATTGGCTGAGTGATAGGAAAAAGTAAAAGTAATTGTAAATAGACATTTTTCAGGCTGGAACCAGCTTTATAGTGGAATGCCGAGGGTTGACATTAGGAGCCTTGCTTTTTATAATTTATATCAATGTTCTCAACCCTGGAGCGCAGGAATCCATTTCAAAATCTGATGATTCAAAACTTGACAGCATTGTAAACTCAGGAGGAAAGTGCAGAACTTCAAACAGACTGACAAGTTTCTGGCGTGGGTGATTACGTAGCAAATGAAGTTCAATGCAGAGAAGTGTGAAATACATTCTAGTACAAACATGCCAATACAGTATAAGACAAAGGGTATACAGGAGCAGAAAGACGTGCGGGTATTGGTGCACAAGTTAAGGTCACAGGATAAGTAGAAAATGTAGTAAAAACATACAGTACCCTAGGACTTATCAGTAGCTGAGAATACAACACTAGGAGGATTTTGCTGAATTGGTGTAAGATACTAATTAGCAGAAGTACTATGTTCAGTTTGGGTGATACACTTGATGGATGCAAACGCGTTCAAATAAGCACAGAACGGGTTTACAAGAATAGCTCCATTGAGGAGAAACTCAGTTATCAAGATAGGTGGGAGAAATTGGGACAGATTTCCACTGAAAGTAGAAGGCTAAGGACAAACTTAATTAAGTTTGCAATGGCAGGATTGATCTGGAGATAGCAGACAGGGATAAACTTTTCCCCACTTGTAAACAGATAAAAGGGACACAGATTTACAGTGATTTAGAATATAAGTAAATGAGAGAAGAAACTTATTCATGCAACAAATGATTTAGTTCTGCAATGCTTTGCCTGGAATAATCATGGCACTAAAGGCACTAAAAGTCAAAATGTCCATTTGGAGAACAAATACAGTCAGTCAGTCATAGTCACAATGAGTCATTTTTTTTGCAGTCAAGAATTCTGAGATTGCAGTTTCTCCATGTCCTTTTTTCCATGTGACCTCTGATCAGAAATTAACTACAGCTTACCAATTGGTAACTCAGACCACGTGTGACAAATTATTCTGTGTATCTTATACAGCAGGACATGAGGTCTACAAAACAACACAACTGCACTGCACTTTATAATGACCGAAATGAATAAATCCTAAACAACTGAAAAAGTAATGTTCACGTGGATAGGATTAAAAACTGAAAACATTAGTTGCCACGATAGTTCCTTTCAAGTCACTTTTTCCGTAGGTTTTTTGGTTGGAATACAGTTCAGTAATGCACTAAAGTTGATCGTTCAGCCAATAAGAAAGCATGACAAACTTAATATATAACAAAATATGCAGAGGTCTTTTACACAAGAGATCAAGACTACACAAAATTCAATATTTTTTTCACCACACTGAAGTTGGATCAATATTCCACAGATCTGAATAGTATATAATCAGAATTATCATCTGCATCTTCAGTTATGGTCTACAATAGGCTGATTCTTCAGTAATAGATGATACAAGTTTTCCATTTTCATAATTAACTGCACTTAATGTTCTGAGACGGTTATCACTTTTGCCTAACCTGTAGTAGACGTTACATTTCTTATTTAAGTCTCCGGTAATTTTAAGTCTCAGTTTCATAATCTCACTTCAGCTTTTGGTATTCACAATGGGGTTGAGAAAGGATTTTAATGAAGTATATCTGCCTACAGTAGTCTTTTAGACTTTCAGTGCCTCAAAGATAAGCCAGACACAGCAAATTAAATTTAGAAAACTTAAACAATTTATATATTAGGGAATAAAATAAAAATTGTGTCACTACACAAAAACAGATAATGGTCAAAGCAGACGTCTACTACTTTGGAAAATTGAGTTTAAAAGCACCTCAACAAAATTATCATAATTATTTCAAAAGGAAAAAATTTCCCTCCAGTAAACAAAGCTTGAATTTCCAATCACTCACACCTCAGGGTCTAAGATGATCATAATGAACATCCTGTACACATTACTCTGAATGTACTAATAGACGTCTATTTGCGCAGCAATCCCTTTTGATGCAAGGAGGACTAAGTAACTTGAACAGTCAAATTTCAGACACAAGTTGTAAATATAAAACACAGGTTATTTATACTACAGGTGAAGATATTTCTGAGGCAGAATTCCATTATACATCTCCCTTTAGTATATTCCCCCAACCAGCTGTTCCATTATTTCAATGCCAACAACTAAAAGTTTAAAAGATACCAACAACAAGTTCCTGAAACCACTATCATTTATCAACCGCCCTTCTGTAAAATATGCTTCTGATGATTCAGTGAATGATGAAAATACACAGCTAAAATATTTCAATAGAAATAGTGCCCCTAGGATTAAGAACTGTCACCCAACTGAGCTACCTTGGTCCTAACACAATGGGGAGGAAAACTGGATTTAAATAAACCCATTTGTATTTAATTTCATAGTTTGATTGATTATGGGTTGTCACAGTTAATTGGTATTCGGAAAGGGTGGCAGAGGAGGAAAGAGGTAGTGCAGAGAAGGGAAGTTGTTTTAAGTTCTCAGGGTGTTCCTCTGCTATCTAAATTTTGGGCATATATTTAGAATTGATAGAATGAAAATCAGAGAGACACCACAGTTCTGAGATACAAATCAATTCAGATCTAGTCATAAAATGAACACTAGTGATTTGGTAGTGGCTTATACAAAAAAAAGTGAACATTAGGGTAACCTGCTAAATTATCCATTGCCCCTGAACAACATCTAGCTCAAGGATTTCTTTCATAAAATGTACACAGTGAATTCGGAACTCCTAATTGATAGGAAAGCAATGTGATTACCTTGTTGAAAATTTTTCTGATGACTTTTATTCACAGTGAGGTCGAGGGGTCCTTCCTGCTCCTCGTGAAAGTTCTGGGTTTGCTTGGCAGGCGGATCATTTGAGACCGAAACAGCTTCATCGGTTGATCCAGGCTGAGCTTCACGAGCGTAATTACTTCTGGATATATATTCAATTGCAAATTGACGAATCATTCTTTTCATTATTTCCTGAGCAACTAGAGGAATGTTGCGATCACAGTTCTGAGGAAGGTCTAAAAGAATTAGAACTACACATTAACGGAAGTATAATATACAAAACTCTTAATTTTCAATTATAATGGCACATAATACAAAATTACATTTCCCTTGATCCATACATTAGCAAAACTCGAATAATTTCTTCTAAACACTGGCTGAAAAAAATGGTGCAAATACAGATTTCCAGCAAAAATGGAAGAATTTTCAGCACAATTGGTTTATAAGGCCATTAAAAAAGTAGAATTAGGCCATTCAGCCCATCAAGTCTGCTCCACCATTCAAGCAAAGCTGATCGGTTTCTCAGCTCCATTCTCCTGCCTTCTCCCAGTAACCTTTGGTCCCTTACTAATCAAGAACCTCTTAAATATACTCCATGACTTTGCCTCTGTAGCTTCCTGTGGCAATAAGTTCCACAGATTCACCCTCTGGCAAGAGAAATTCCTCACCTTAGTTCAAAAGGCTCATCCCTTCCTGGAGGCTGTGCCCTTGGATCCTAGTCTCTCCTACTAGTGGAAACATCTTCTCCATGTCCACTCTATCCAGGTGTCTCTATTCTGCAAGTTTCAATTACTCCCTCCCTCATCCTTCTAAACTCCACTGAGTAAAGACCTAGAGTCTTCAAGTGCTCCTCATATGTTCTCATTTCTCTGCAACCCCACAAAGTCATTCTTATAAACCTCCTCTAGACCGCCTTCAATGCCCACACATCTTTCATCAGATATGGGCCACACAACCGCTTATAATATTCCAAATGCAATCTGAGCACAGCCTCAGCAGTACATCTCTGCTCTTGTATTGTAGCCCTCTCCAAATGAATGCTAACATTGCATCTGACTTCCTAATATGCAGATTCATCTGGCAATTGAGAGAATCCCAAATCCTTGTGCTCCAGACTTCTGAAGCCTTTCCCAATTATAATAACCTCCACTTTGATTCTTCATACCAAAGTGCACAACCTTCCCACATTGTATTTCATCTGCTACTTTTTTGCCCACTCTCTTAGCCTATCCAAGTCCTTCTGCAGCTTCCCCGCCTCCTCACCCCCACTACTTCTTCCACCAGTGTCACCTCGAAACTTATCCACAATGCTTTCAATTCCTTGATCCAGATTGTTGGTATAACATGAAAAGTTGTGGTCCCAACACTGGCTCTTGGGGAACTCCAGTAGTCACCGGCTGCCAGCCTGAAAAAGACTTCTCTGCTGCCTGCCTTTTGCCAGTCAGCCAATCCTCTATCCATGCTAGTGCCTTGTCCCTAACACTATGGGCCCCTGTCTTATTCGATAGCCTGTGTGTCACCTTGTCAAAGCCCTTCTGGAAAAGCAGATGTGCTGATCCCACATTACGCTAAATACTTTCATATAACAGTGTAGTTTTTGTGGGTTATTTCCTGGATTTTCACTGGCTTTCTGATGGCTGCAGAGAAATGAGAACATTGGGTACTAATATTCCTTACGAGATGCTTTTATTTTGAAAACTTGCAGCCTAACCTCTAGCTCTGTAGCAATATTTTTCTATCTTATTTCTCCAAGTCAGAAATCTCAGATTCTTAGATCACAAGAATATTTACCTCTTTGCATGTCAAGTAGAACAATTTACAATGACATGCCTAATTAACATTCACCAATTCCGCTTTTGAAAACAGAGGATGAAGAGAATGTGCAGATAGTGCGGTCAGGCATCGTAATAGCAAGTGACTTCAGTTACCTACCATCCCCAGTGTGCGTCCTGTGCCTGAAGGTCATACTAGGAACTGCTGGAGAAGCACAGTGTCTGGCCATGTGCGAAATTAGATTTAGATTTATTTGTTTATCACATGTACTATAGGAATATGCAAGTACAATGAAAAGTGCGCAAAGTCGCCATTCACTGGCGCCCACTTGGTTACAAAAACCAGAATTAAAAGATTTAACAGAACCAAAAGGTAAGCAAACTGCAGGAAACCTCAGATGATTGTTCATACTGTATTATCAATGGAAGTGCAGGACATCTTAGCTCTCCATTTTTGTGGCTCTGGATTGTTCTGATCACCCCACTCTTTGCAGTATCAGCCAAGGAGCTCCAAGTGCCTGCAATTAGGCAGCCAATTTCATCCAGCAAGACATCATCTTCATAGCAATTTTCTCAACTTCTCATCATGGTGAATACCAGTTTTTAAAAACAGTTCTTCCTCATTGCAGTCCAGTGTTTAAAGACACAAAAAGACATGGTCATTACACATTTGCAATTTCACCCCAACTTAATGATTCAGAGAAGAAAATCAAATAAATACATGGGTGCTGACAAGAATGCGCCACCTACAGCCAACTTACACAACACAGGATTAATGTAATTGGGCACATGCAGAGAACTGATAGAAGCCAGGCCAATTTAAGGACTCCAAAAAAGAAAGAAAGAAAGAAAGAAAGAAAGAAAGAAAGAAAGAAAGAAAGAAAGAAAGAA